CCCCAAAACCCCAAAACCCCAAAACCCCGTGGGTCAGTAAATATCACTTTTCTAAATAAATTCAATATCTGAGATTCATAAATTATTTTTCTTACTATTAGTTTGATACCCTTGTCTCTTCAATTAATTCTAAGTTAACTTAGGAGTTACAGCCTCATTCTTAAGATTCACTTCTATGCTATCTAATTTACCTTCATTTGGGTTACTCTTCTACTCATCATCAGCATTAGTCTTATTTTCTGAAATGGGTTTTTGAGATCCCTTGAACTCAGAATTCATGTTTGCGAGATTCAATTGGTCATTTTTATCAATATATTTTTGTAAATGTTAGAGCGTTGGTGGCAATTTATAATTTTTCCTTATATCAATATTCTTTTTCTGTTTAAACTCCAGTCTGTCCTTATGAGAAAGCAGACTGTCTTTGATAGCAGTCTCAAGTGTTTTAAATATTTCGGACTCTCTTTTCTATGTTTGCTATAATCTCTGTAGCAACTACGACTCCACATTCTCCATTTTGTTAATTTATGATTCATGCTTTTGAATATCATTAAATTCCCTATCTTGCTTATGCTTATAAGACTATTCTATGGATTTCATTATATTATTGCGTCTTAATTATAATTTATCTAGGGCTTCAATTTCTTGGTTTTTTACATCTTACTTCTTTTTCTGATTTATTTGTTAAAGCTCAAGTTTTATCTGAGATTTAAACATATTATTCTAAGTTCTTTCATTCTTTACCTCATCAGCATTTTACTTAAGATATTCTTGTCGAAGTTTCAGTTTCTATTCATTAAGTTGCTTTTTCAGCATACGTTACTAAAATACTTTTATTTATTAAGCTTTTATTGACTCTTCTCTCTCTATTTCAGCCTGCATCAATGATTTATGTCTGTGATCATTATTTTTCTTTATTTCAAGTATTTATTATGCTCGCTCTCTAGTTTTCTAGATTTTCTTCATGACTTTTTTCTCTTCTAAATGCAAAAGCTAAATTCGATTAGCTAAGAGCTGCTCATCTCTAACTACCAGATTTTTTTGCTGCTTTAGCTGAAAAACTGATGAATTATAATTCATCGATGTGGAACTGATATCGTTCTAACTTCTTGAACCCAGAGTCTCTAAAAAAATTTAACTAGTAATAAGTTAGATTTTACCATTTAGAGGTGAATTTTCTTAAGATCTCTTGTTTGCATATACACTTTTATTGAGCTTCGACAATTTTTCCCTAAAATATTTATAACTCATTGCTTACTATTAATTAGTGGCGATCTCATCTTATGGTAGCATCCCAAGAGCACTCTTAGAAGGAGGCTTCAATTCTTCTTTTTCAATAATAGAGGAATTTTCTACTTTTGAAATCTTGGTTTGCTACTTCTCTAAATGAGACTACTAACCTTTATCTTCCATCGTCTTAATTTTACAATAAAATTATATTAAATTAATAAAATTATTGCAACACTAATCATCCATTAAAACATCATTAATCATTCAATCATCTATTTCCTCATTTTTAAGTTATATTACCGGTGGCGATGTTTTCATTCTATGCCTCTTTCTACTGCTTTTTTTCAATTTAACTTTTACTCTTCGAAATTTGCTTTTATTTAAATACTTTGAGCTCTTGATTCTCGGTCTCTAGTTTCTCAATCTTCTTTTTAAGCTTATTAGTATACTTGTCATAGCCTCTGATAAAAGTATAAATCTTGTTTCTCATAAGTAACAACTCTTTATTAATCGCATTGTTTTCTCTTTCAGTCATTTCCTATTGGAACTACACAAAATGTTTTTCAAAAATAGATACTTAAGGTTCTCCTAAAATGTTTACAGGATTGCTTTCCTTGATTGAATTCTAGCAATTGTTTTAAAGGCTTGGAATTATAGTTCTCAAATTAGCAAGTGATCTGTTTTTGCTAATCTAAGTGCGCATAATTTGCTCAGCATCATTTGAATTAAAATTAGTTTGAGTATAAGGTCTATCTTCTAGTTATTAGTTATTATCAATTGCGGTAAACAGCGATCGCTTCTTTGGAGACGGTACAGTTATATTTTTATCTGAGGGACTTTACGAAATATTGGCATGCTCATAACCATTGAGGTAATTTTAGTATACATAGTTTTTCTTTTCAGAACTATTTAGAATGGTAACTACCTCATGATTCTCAGAAATAAAATTATTTGATTATTCTGATATAGATTGCTCACTTTGAATATTAATGATGTTCTTATTAGCATTCGAATACGCTTCTCTAAGTGATAGAGGTCTTGGGTAATTTTTAGTTTAATTAACTGGCCCAACTTATTTTACTTGGGTAAATGCTTGCTGCAGATTATGAATAAGTTAGTCCTTCTGTTCAAGCTTTTTATGCAAATCATTACAATCTTTCTAGTTTGAGTTCTTATTGCTTATTTGTTACTAAAGTAACTATCTATCATTTTCAATATAGTTCATCATTTTTTGCTGCTGCTCAATGATTTTAATTAAGTCTTAATGATTATATTTTAGCAATTCTTTTTTAGCTGAACTATTTGATTTTGGAGACAAACTTGATGGGGAAATACTTGCTTTACCTACTCTTGATTTAAAATTGATCTTATTTGAAGGTTGTTGTTTGATAGGTGAATTTGTTGATGAAAAATTTTGAAACTCTGTTGATAGTGCTCTATCTTTAATTATGATTCCAGAAGGATTTCTTACCAACTTTATTTCTTTTATTCCTTACGGAGAGGGCAAATTTAAATCTGCATCAGAAGCTTCTACTATCAAATGGTGAGAGATTTTTGTTTAATTTTAGCTTTTCTTGTCATAGCGACTAATACCTAGTTAACTTAGGGCAGTTGTCTTATTAAACATAATATTGAGCTTATCATTTACAGTGTGTTTGCTGTTTAAGTCTCCTACTATTTTGTTGTAATTTTACAACAAATTAGATTGAGAGTTACTATTACTAATCATAGAAGACATTGGCATGGAATTTAAATGATTTTTATTTTGTGATTTCTTGGACCCTCTTAGGGCTCTGCTTTTAGGGGACATATTATTAACAATAATGTTATCATCATGTCCATCAGATCTAGCTGAGTTGAGTTCTGATTAGCCAATCCCATCTTTTAAACCTAGAATGTCTCTGCTCAACTTTATCTTTGAAGTTCCTCCTAGATTTAGAGTGTTCTTGGGAATTTTCTTTTGTGAGTTAACCATATACGTGGCTGGATTACTGTTAAGAGTGCTGTTTAGGGGATTCATTGTGGTTGTATACTTACTATTGTTAATCTTATCAAATTATGATTGTTAAGCCATAAGGAATTCACTTAGTTAATCAATTGTCTATCTTCCCTTCTGGCCATCAGTTGCTTATTTCTTAGATTTTGATGGCTTTCTTTTCTCATGAACCTAAAGCTATTGCAGGAAATGTGTCTACTGTGGATTTAATACAGAGTTGAATGAGGTAAATCCAATTGAATTTTTAGGTAATGCCTAGGTAGTATTATTACTTTCTTTAGATTTTTTCTGTTATGCACCTTAAGTCTACTGGTATTGCTATTTCAAATTTCTCGACATGGCATTTAGGTTTGTTAGACTGTTTTAATTTCTCAGCAATGAAACCTATTAAGTCTTCAAATTATTTTCAGTCTTCATAATCTACAATGCCTGATTAAGTTCAATGTTCTAACCACCTTTACTGGCTTGGTTAACATGATTGGCCCTATAAATTAAGTTGATTATTTCAATGCTTAATTTACATCTTCGAATTCTTCCTTTGTTTTAAGATATTCTGTTCATGTTTTGAATTTTTCCTGGTGCCAGTTTATGATCCAGATCTTGTGCCGCCTAGAAGTTTTATATACTATTTCTTACTTTATCCCGGAACGAATTTGTGAAGAGCATGCTCGAGGTTAACAAATTATTGGCCCTGTGGTGTTGATACTTAATGTCCAAGCTGCTTAGCGAACTTTATAAATTCATCAGCTGATCTCTGAGAAGCATAATTGTCTGCTGAGTCTTTTGATAGATATCCAGTATTTGATGATCTAGGATGAAAATCTTGTATAACTTGCTGTAAAGCCATTGTTTTCTTAGACATTCCCTTATTGTTAGATGTAAGAGAGGCAGAGTTAGGAGTTTCACTAAAATTTATCTATTGAAGTGTATGATCTGTAGTAGGAAATTAGGGAATTTGTATTCTTACTCTTTGTTTTCATATTTATATTTAAATTTATGAATTGTTAATTTCCAGCAAAATGCATAAATATAACCTAAGGGGTTTTGGGGTTTTGGGG